GAAGAGTTTATTAATAGTCTATATAAAGACTTATTATGAATGGGAATCAAACCAGATGAATCGGTTTTTCAGACTGGCGAGTATGGTCCTTATCGGCAAACCCAACGACTAAGTAATTACAAAAAATATATTGAAAGGTTATTAGTAGAAAAAAAAGCCTATTATTGCTTTTGTTCTCCGGAGCAATTGGCTCAGGAAAAAGCACAATTTATCAAGGAAAATAAACGAAGTAATTATCAATATTCTCGAAAATGTTTGAATTTAAATGAACCAGAAATCCAATCTTTGCTCCATCAACCAATTCCTTACATTATTCGCTTAAAGGTTCCACGAGAAAGAAGTTATTTTTTTCAAGACTTAGTGCGATCAGAAGTAAAATTTCAAGGCCAAGATATTGAGGATTTTGTGCTGTTTCGGCAAAATGGTATTCCTAATTACAATTTTGCTTGTGTAATTGATGATTATTTAATGAAAATTAGTCATGTTTTACGGGGCGAGGAGCATTTATCTAATACTGGCAAGCAATTAGTTTTATACGAAGCCTTGGGGTGGAAACCCCCTCTTTTTGGACATATTTCAATAATACTCAACCAAGAGAGAAAAAAACTTTCCAAGCGGGATAAAGAAACCAGTCAGTGACAATTAATTAACCAATTACGGGAAAAAGGATACTTGCCACAAGCGATAACCAATTACTTATTACTGTTAGGTTGGCATCCCGGAACCACCCAAGAAATTTTTAATTTGTCAGAAGCCATCAAAGAGTTTAAACTGGAGGGGTTACATGTTCGCGGAGCAGTTTATGAATTAGAAAAACTTAATTGGTATAATAATTACTATATCCAAAAGTTAGAAGGAAGCGAGTTTGCTGAAGGTGCTTGGCAAGTGTTAAAAAAAGAATATAAATTGCCAGTTGAAAAAAAAGAATGAGCGGTTAAAATAGCACTTTTATTCCGTTCCCAATTGAATTATTTTCAAGAGTTAATTGAGTTAACTAATTATTTTTTTCAAAGACCTAACTTGAAAATTGAAAGCGAGGAAAATAAGACTTTATGATTGAAAGAATTACAAAAAGAGTTAAGTCAATTAGAGAAGTGAGAAATAGAAAATGTTAAATCGGTGCTTAAAGTGGTTTGTATAAGTAGTCAAGTCTCTAAAAAAGAATTTTATCCCCTGATAAGAAAGGTATTAACTGGAAAAGAAAAAGGTCCAGAATTACCCTCCATTATTTGTTTATTAAATAAAGAGGAAGTTGGAGAAAGATTTAAAATAATAAATATAAAGTAAATATTATTAAATAAAACCATGAACCAAAAAATAGAAATTAAAAAAATAAAAGTAAAGAACGGACAAGAACTAATCCAAAAGGCCAAAGAATATAAAAACTCGGGCGGAGAATGAAAGTTGTTAGAAAAATATTGAACTAGTCCAGGTGGACAAGGTGGTCGAAATACTAATAAAAAATATGCTAAATGAGGAATTATCATTGGTAGTGATTCACAAAAAGTAGAAATTTATTCAGATAAAGTTAGAGATGAGAAAAAAGGAAAAGGTGTTATAGCAAATAGAATAGATGAGGTCGATTCTCGCTCAGAATTACACCAACTTTTTCCAGAAGCTCATTCAGCACTTTTCTCAAAGAAAAACGGCGAGAAAATTGAGAGTTTGGATCACAGTACTTATAAACGTGTTAAAGAAGTAGATGGCGAATATGAGTTAGTTCGTTACTTAGTAGCCAAAAACTTTCACCATTTAAAGCAAATAATTCGAAGTTATATCAGTGAAAATGAAACTAAAATCTATAACTCGGCTAATCGTAATTTTTCCGATTGAGTGGAAATAGTGGATGGACAAGACGGAAATACATATCTTTATGTGGGAGAGAAAGATGCCAACAGTGGACGAGAAATTAAAATCGGAATTGCCAAAGGCGAGTTTGAATCAAAGAACGCTCCTATCAAGGGTAGTGAAAGAAGTCAATTAGAGGTTTATTGGTATTTATTTTTAGAGACCGGTCAGCCACTAACTTCAACTGAAAAAGAAAATTATTATCGAACTTTGATGGAAACATTTCAAGAACAATGATCGCACCGCGAGAAACTTTGTCGACAATATTGAGAAGATATGGCTAAAAGAATGGAGGAAATGGCAAACTATTGAAATGAAAGATGTCAGCAAAAGGAATATCATGGTAATAAGGAAAACCAAGAATACCTTCTAATCAAAGCCTGAGCTGTTACAATAAAAGAGGAGTTAGAACAAAATACAAACATTAAAACTTGCTGCGATAAAGACTGTCTGCATTATTTATCAATAAAAGATTATCCGGCTCCAACTTCCCCAACTTCGCCAAAAACTATTAGAGGGGGGAAACCAGCAAGTAAGCAAACTAACCAAATTAACTCAACCGATAAAAACCAACTCCTCCAATACTTCCTAACTTACCATATTACTAAAATCACTCTAAATAATGGTCAACTAGTAGTTGAATATGATAATTCACAAAAAGGACAAAAAGAAGTTAATAAATCTGAACTAGAAAAGTATAAAGAATTAATTCAAAATCAACCCAATCATTCACTTTCTTTAAGTGATTTACAAGATAATTCTGACTCCAACTCCACTACTAAAAACCCAGACCATAAATTAGTTATTGGTTTAGTTCTCGGAACCGGAGCAGTTATCTTAGGAGGAGTAATTGCTTACTTTATTCGAAAAAGAAATAAAAAATAAATTAATAAATAATGAATAATAATAATTACTATATTGGCGTAGGACGTCGTAAGGAAGCTACTGCCCGGGTTTATTTAAAAGCAGGCAAAGGACAAGCCCAAATTAGAACCAAAAATGGAAAAGAAAAAGACTTAAAAGGATACTTTTATATGGAACCCTCGCTTTGTGAAGATATTTTTAAACCCCTCAAATTATTCAGCAAAGAAAATGAATATGATTTATTGGTGCGAGTAAAAGGAAGTGGGTTTCATGCCCAAGCTGAAGCCATTAGATTAGGAGTAGCACAAGCAATGTTAAAAATTTCCCCAGAATATAAAACTACTTTAAAAAGTTTTTCGCTCCTTACTCGGGATGCTCGTCGTGTCGAACCTAAAAAAATTGGTTTCAAAAAAGCCCGCAAAAAAACTCAGTTTTCGAAGCGATAAATGGCTAAATATTTTTTGAATATTAGGCAGAGTGGTAGAAGTGATGACAAGAAGGGGAATATAATTTATGATTTTGAATTAGAAACCCCTTTATTTTTCCTTTGATCATTAGAGGATAAAAAATACGAATATAAGTATTTAGAAATTAAAACCAGCAAGAATGAGAATGATTTTTTGCAATACCGACAATGAAGAAGGAGGAATAGGTGGGAAGTTTAGTCCTATAACCATTTACTGAAATTTATGTGTTCCCGATGATATGAAAGGATGTTCCATGACTTGAATTGATGATAAACTTACTTTGGATAATGAGGAAGGAAAAATCTATTTGGAACCTTTTCATTTTGAGCTTTCTACTTTAAAAATAAAACCGGTGGAAGTTGCTTGAAAAGGTACAGAAAATTTTCGAGTTAAAATTGAAACTTATTCTATTCGAGATGAGACTCAGAAATTTAATCTAGAGTTTAACGAAATAGAGTTAGAAAGTAAAAAATACGACAAATTTCGTTCTACAATTGAAAACAGTATAGAAAAAGGTCAGACTCTAACCCTTAAATTAAACCTTCCTAATAAAACTTATTTTCGAAAAACTTATCTTAATAACCAAGCAATTAACACTTTGGTTATTCCCAAAGGTAGTAGTTTACAAGAAACTTCAACTTCCCACACTCCAAATAGTTCCTCCTCCTCTTCTGATAAATATTTTTATTTTCTAATGATAGGAATTATTGTTCTAATTTTGCTCCTTTTTCTGTCTTGGTTTTTCCTAATAAAACGCCAAAAGTCCCCTAAAAAATAGTTATGGCAGGTCATTCACATTCAGCCAACATTAAACACCGTAAAGATAGGCAAGATAGTGCTCGCAGTCAACTTTTTCTGAAAATTCGGAAAAAAATTGAAAATATTATTCGTGAAGAGCACGAAGTTAACGAAAAAAGTTTAAGTATTGCTCGGGAGAATAAATTTCCTAAGGAAAAAGTTTATCAAATTTGAGAAAAAATTAAGAGTGAAGAGGACAAAAGTTACTCCTCGCAAGTTCTTTTTAAAGCTCCGCATGGTATTTTAATTTATTTGGAAAACAATCAAGCAATCACCCCTGTTTTAATCAAAAAGTTAAATTTAAGAGAACTACCACTTTCATCTCTTCCTAACTATTTTCAATTATCATATAGTTTAAACCTCAGTTTAAAAGAAAAAAACAAAAACAATTTAGAGGAATATTTAATTACTCACTTACCAAGCGAATTTTTAGAAAAAATGACTTATGATGAAGAGGAAAAAAAGTTAATTTCCACTAATAAAGAAGAAATATCACAAATCAAAAAAATTATCAAAGAAAATAATTTAGAATTAGTGATGGAACAAGAAAAAGCGGTATGAAAAGCTACAGTTCCTTACCAATTAGTAGAAAAAGAGGAGTTAGACTACTATCGAGAGTTAGAGAAGCAATTAAACAATAGTAAGTTTTATTCCAATGTAGAGAAATAAAACAAAATTACATTCTCTTGTCTAACTTTTTTTTTTCAACTTCTAATCCACCGCCAATTTAAAGCAGAAAACTATTTCTTTCCCTCTTAATTTCCAATTTATTTGCCCCTTATCAAAGAAAAGGTTATTTTTAAAATTTTCACTATTGCTCAAATAACAATAATAAGGACAATTATAAAAATTAATAACTTTCACCAATAATCTTTAACATAAGTACCTAATTCACTAATATTGTTAACTCCTTTTTCCGGCCATTGTAAAAATTTTTTTAGTCAGTCAAACATAATATTAATTTTTTAATATTTTTTTTTTTTAACCTATTAATTAATTCCTATTTTTCTATTTGCGAAACTGCCAAAAAAAAAGTTAAGATAAAAAATGGCGCGTTCGGGAGGATTTGAACCCCCGACCCTTTGATCCGAAGTCAAATGCTCTATCCACTGAGCTACGAACGCAAGTTTTATTAAATAATTTTAAGTCATTAACCTAATCATGTCCTTAATTCTTCATAGTAAAAATAAAAACACCATACTCAAAAAAACAAAATTTATATATAATATAAAATTATACTAAGAAGCAATAAAGGTTTCTTTACCATACTATATGAATATATTGACATAGTTAATTTTTCTTAGTCAAAAAAACAAAATATGACAACCCACGTTCTCTATAAAAAAGATAAAAAGAATAATTTCAAATATATTACCATTAAAGACCATGCTAACTTTGCTAAAAAAGGACAGGATATTGTCTGTGCAGCTATTTCTGCTATCAC